ATATGGAAACGACCCCATTTGACATCATCATATATTTCGCAATCATCGAATAAAATGCAATAAATTATGTATATACATATATATATCTGGTGTAGATAATAGAGTAACTTTCTATTATCCGCTATATTTCTCCTTCTATTTCCCCTGTTATCAGCTCCTCATTCATATACGTGTAGTTATAGTAAACACCACACTTAACATGTGAAGTCGTATAAATAAATAAATAAATAAATAAATAAATATATTCCGACGGACTTTACTTCAATCGTGCGACAAAGAGAGTCAGTCGTTTTAATGAGTTTTATCGATATTTGTTATACGTGAGCGCGCATGTCTCCTGCATCATGTTACGGCCGTCTTTACTGCAAACATTAATTATTAGCATAGTTAGTGCATGACGGTCACGCAGGCGTGCGTGCCCGCCGAAATCTAGTTATCTATTATTTGCGATTCAATAAGAAGATCGCATTATCCGTGGCTTTAGTTTCTACCAAAGTAAAATTTCGTTGCGCGACTTTGTCTTAAAATCTTCGTTTTATGGTAATGGCCAAGCTTCTGTGGACAAGCCGGGTAAGGCAAAAAGGACTTTGTAGCGATTCGAAATAGTATACCATTAAACAGATTTTGGTTTGCATTAACGTAGTCCACGAATTCGAAGTAATGTGTGTCGGTATACCTAAATTCAGAGATTCCTAGATTAATTTCTTTAAATTCTATCTAGAGATTTCTATGATTAATTCATCTGAAATGTAAGCGCCTTAGCGAACATTGAATTTGATTCTACTCATTCTAAAACCTAATTATTTCAGCAGTAAACCACTTTCAGTATCTGACTGTTGCAACACATAATACATGTCGCTTCTCGGAAAATAGCATTCACGCATATTTCTGCATTCTATATGTCTGCATATTGTATATTTCTGCATTCTGTATTTATAATTGGGATAATGCGTAATTATAATGCCAACAGATTGTTGTTACAACGCTATGTTTATAGCGGAGGGTCCGTCTCATCTTTCAGAATGACTTACATCGAGCACTACAGAAGGTGCAGTCAGCGCTCTCGCATCAGCTGACGTTACTATGTGCCACTCTCTTCTGTGTCTTCTTCACTAGGTACGTACACGAACGCTCCGTAAAACATACGGCCTTCGCATATGCCTTGTATAGCTCGCTGCAACAATGTCAACAAGTTACTGACACGAAATGTGATGACAAAAATATATGTAATTTATTTATAAATAATATATATATATACGTATAATAACGTGCACTGCAGGGTAGTTGCTATAACATGCGTGCTCGTAAAGAATTCGTAATTTCCGCTGACAGGGAATCTTTTCTATAGTCGTGTACGCAGCTGCAGCTAATACATAAGAGTTTCAGTGCTGGGATAATTTCTCGAGCGCACGCATCGCATGCGAGTGAAATTACTATCCCTGTAACTTACGATCGAAACCAGTCCCGCAGCTTTTAGATCGTTGAATTATGAATGTCTGAATTAATTTTAGTTAATGCGCGAAATTGAAAGGCGTCAATCAATAACCACGTTTTTGATAAGGTTTTTTCGAATTTACGTCACGAACAAAGTTGAAATTTCACCTGGATCAAGGAAATATAACTTGTCGTGTATTTGTGTCTACAGTTACATATGCCTATAATACACCTACACCTACACTTATATTTACATAGATAATATACCTATACCTACAGTTTTACCTATACCTACACATACATATATCCCTATATAATAATTATACCTATACCTATAGTTGTATTTACCTATATATAGTATACCTATACTCATACCTATTGTACGATACCTAATAGTTATCCTATAGTTATACATACTTATATAAGTATTAATTAATCATATATATCACATATAATAGGTGTAAATATAATATACATATGCCTACGATATACCTATAGCTGCACCTATATATATATATATATATATACCTACATATAATTATAATATACCTATACCTACACATATATACCTATATAATATACCTGTGCCTGTACATTGTGTATGATACCTTGCTCATCATGCTTGCAGCATCTGCGGCATCGAGCACCTACAGCGCGGCGGCAGGGTGCACCTCGACCTCTTCCAGAGCTTCTATTACGTCATCGTCACCTTCTCGACGGTCGGCTACGGCGACTACGTGCCGGACATCTGGCTTTCGCAGCTGTTCATGGTCATCATGATCTGTCTGACGCTGCTCGTGCTGCCGGCCCAGGTACGCGCGCACGCACGCACGCACGCACGCACGCACGCGCTGTCGCAGCTCTTCATGGTCGCCATGATCTGTCTTGACGCTGCTCTATGATATGTATTACGCCGTGATGCTATCACGTATCATTCACCGCATTTCATTTGCACGGGCGTGATGTGAAAACACCGCGTATAGGGTTCTAATGAATACATAATAATAATAAACAGCAGCCGCACTACGATCGCACGAAGGCCGCAGTATCTATGTGCACGGATGCCTGGGAGCAATAGCTTGATGCTGATACCGTGCGTGCGTGCGTTCGTGCCTGCGCATGTGTGCGTGCAAATGTGTGCGCGTGTCGGCATTTGTGAGCGTCGGTGGGCGAAATAGCACTGCGGCTGGCAATCTTAATGTTACAACCGACCGACCGACGGACCGACCGTCCGACCCGGACCGACCGTCCGACCCGGACCGACCGACTAATCGACCAACAGACTAACCAACCGACCGACCAACCGACCGACCGACCGACCGACCGACCGACCGACCGACCGACCGACCGTCCGACCGACTGACCGACCGTCCGACCAACCGACCGACCGACCGACCGACCGACTAACCGACTAACAGACTAACCAACCGACCGACCGACCCACTACCCAACTAACCAATCAACCGACCGACCGAACGAGCGACCGTCCAACAGGCAGACGTGACTGACGTGTGCTGCGTTAATTGTGCCGTAGCTGGAGCAGCTGGTGTATACGTTCATGGAGCGGCAGAAGCAGGGCGGAACCTACAGCCGACACCGCGCGCTGAACGAGAAGCACGTTGTCGTCTGCACGACCTACCTGCAGGGCGACCTCATCATGGACTTCCTCAACGAATTCTACGCTCACCCGATGCTGCAGGTGCGTGTACGAGCGGCGGCGAGGGGGGGGGGGCTTTGTGAATGTAGATTGTTTACTGCATGAGTTGGCTCGTGCGTGTGGGTCGTCATAGGGACATGAGTGTGGTTGTTCGTAACGGCCTGTGCCTTCTACACGTTGAAGAAACACACGAGGATTGCCGAGTACAAAGCAGCATGGTCACGTATCTGTAGGCGTCTATATCCGTATCCGCCCTTTGATCTTCTTCGGCACCTGATTAAACATTAAAAGGATTTTCGCGACCGCCTATAATAGAGATCATCAAGAGTCCGTCAGCTCTATTCCTAGCACTTCTGATGAACCTATAGCCTCTACCCCTCGTGCTTAGTGTTTGCGTCTATCTAGCTATAGCAGTAGTTAGAAGAACGAAGCGGACAAGATTACGAAGTCGAAACTAGTTGTGCAACCTAGCGGTCGTTCGTTCATTCGTTTAGTTTGGTTGTTCGTTCGTTCACTCGTTCGTTCGTGCATGCGTTCATTCGGTCGTTCTAACGTGACATAATCTTTTAACCGAAGCTTTGGAACCTAGTCCAGTTAAATCACGCAGTTTAATTCGCTGCCGCACGCGTCTTGTTCCAATACGTCTACTTTGTTCTATTGTTTTTGTCTTATTTATCTATTTATAGTTTTTTTCTATCTTGTATTCTAGGATTACTTCGTGGTGCTGCTGTCGCCGTGCGAGCTTGACCCGACGATGCGCATGATCCTACAGGTGCCGCTGTGGGCGCAGCGCGTCATCTACGTGCAGGGGTCAGCGCTCAAGGACTCCGACCTAACCCGCGTCCGGATGGGCGAAGCGGAGGCCTGCTTCATCCTAGCCGCCCGCAACTACAGTGACCACACGGTGGCCGTGAGTATAGCTTGACCAGTAGAGCCAATTACACAAAATGATGATGATGATGATGATGATGATGATGATGATGATGATGATGATGATAATAATAATAATATTATATAATATTAAATAATAATAATAATATTATTATTATTATTATTATTATTATTATTATTATAACAACAATTATAATAAATATATTGTAATATGAATAATAATAAAAAATAACAATAATCATCATCATAATAACATATTTCATGCGTATAACACTACCAACGTTATCATCATTATTATTAATATTCTTTTTTATATAATAATACTACTACTACTAATAATAATAATGATTTTTATTTTATTATTATCATAATCATCATTATTATTATTGATATAATTAGAAATAACAGTGTATAGTATATCCTATAATTATAATATAGAATAATGACGCCATCTCTGCGTGCAGGACCAGCACACGATCCTGCGCTCGTGGGCCGTCAAGGACTTCGCGCCGGACTGTCCGCAATACGTCCAGGTGTTTCGGCCGGAGAACAAGGTGCACGTCAAGTTCGCCGAGCACGTCGTCTGCGAGGACGAGTTCAAGTACGCGATGCTGGCCAACAACTGCGTGTGTCCGGGCATCTCTACGCTCGTCACGCTGCTGCTGCACACGTCGCGCGGACAGTGAGTAGTCTAGTGTAGTAGTGTCGTCATGACAGCGCTATGCTATGGGGCTTGTGTTGGTATGCTAGGGGGCGTTCAGGTGCTAGGAGGCGTTCTGTTGACACACTAGGGGTCGTCGATACGCTAGGGGGGCTTGTGTTGACACGCTAGGGGGCGTCGATATGTTAGAGGGCTTGTGTTGGTGTGCTAGGGAGCGTTGCGTAGAGAAGCTAGGGGGATTCGGACGCTATAGGGGGACGTTATGCGTCCGTTAACGCGTCTGCGAGGACGAGTTCAAGTACGCGATGCTAGCCAACAACTGCGTGTGTCCGGGCATCTCTACGCTCGTCACGCTGCTGCTGCACACGTCGCGCGGACAGTGAGTATAGTCGACGTCCCAGTGATAGACATAGAGTGACAGTGAACTGATACGCTAGGGAGCATTGTGTTGACACGCTAGGGGGTTCGTGTTGACACGATATGGGGTATTGTGTTGACACGATAGGGGGTATTTTGTTGACACGATATGGGGTATTGTGTTGACACGATATGGGGTATTGTGTTGACACGATATGGGGTATTTTGTTGACACGATAGGGGATATTGTGTTGACACGATATGGGATATTTTGTTGACACGATAAGGGGTATTTTGTTGACACGATAAGGAGTATTGTGTTGACACGATATGGGGTATTGTGTTGACACGATAGGGGGTATTTTGTTGACACGATATGGGGTATTGTGTTGACACGATATGGGGTATTGTGTTGACACGATAGGGGGTATTGTGTTGACATGATATGGGGTATTGTGTTGACACGATAAGGAGTATTGTGTTGACACGATAAGGAGTATTGTGTTGACACGATAAGGAGTATTGTGTTGACATGATATGGGGTATTGTGTTGACACGATAAGGAGTATTGTGTTGACACGATAAGGAGTATTGTGTTGACACGATAGGGGGCGTTAATGCGCTTGAGAATTTTGCGTTGACACACTGGGGGGCGTTGATACGTTAGGGAGCTTGTGTTGGTGTTCAGGCGCTGGATAGAGTTTTGTTGACACGATAGGGGGCGTTCATGCGCAAGAGAACGTTGCGTTGAGACGCTAGGGGCGCTGACATGCTAAGGGGCGTTGCTTTGATACGCTAGAGAGCGTTAAGATGCTAGGAGGGCGTTGCGGAGAATGGCTAGGGGCGTTCAGACGCTAGGGGGACGTTAACACTCTAGGGAAGCCAGGCGTCTGGTTATATTCAAGGATAGTTCTGACCATGGTTATCCTGCAATACATATGTACGCATATATGTATCTATGATTCCCACCGCGATTCATACACCGTCAGCTGCTATAACATAATTATAATGCGATTCTTTCCATTATGCTGAACTGCGGAAGTTAGATTAACTCGTTATAGCTGTTGTTCGCTGCAACGCACTAATAACATAAGCGTTATGCTCAGGAAGTTATTGAAACGGTGATTCCACGCAAAATCTCACACAGAAAATGTCATACGTGAAGTGTGTCTGTAATGTACGAGTAACCTTCGCCTGTTATTAGTCTCGTACGTGAAAGATGAACGTAGACGACGTTCTTTCGTGAATGTAGATTTCGCGTAACTCAGGTCGCCCTTACGACCTAGTCGCCGACAAAATTTGAAGATCGTGCGTCAAAAACCGGCCAGATCGCCGATAAAAACATCGACGACTAAACTCGACATGAGTTCTCTTGCGATCGAAAATACGGTCGCCGACTGCGATCGCAGGAATGGAAACGGTCCTATTTCTATGCGCCGGTCGGCGACAAATCGTGAGTGGCAGGCAATCACCGCTACGTGTCGAGTCACATAATTATCAAAAGTCACGTGATTAACAAAATGGCAGCCTACACAGCAGTTTACAAGGAGGGATTATTGCACAAATCCTTTCTCAAATATATATTAAATTTTCCGTATATCACAGGCAATTTTTTTAATTCTTTTTCTGCACGTGATTATAACCATTTTCAGAAAATTTAGGATAGATTTACGAAGTTACCTGATGTTTACTCTTAAGCGCCGTTTTGTTGGTCATGTGACTCGTTTTATGTAGACTGGTCCCGGTGTCAAGCTTGCTCTGTTTGTGCTAAAGCACTGCTTGTGCTAGTAGAAAATACTGTGGCTGCGAACCCGTCTACGTTTCCTGCAGAACGCTACGATCTGATCGGTAATGTACAGCGTGAAGTCACTTCAAGTCGACGTGAGTGTTGCTACGCTGCGAATCGGCGATAAAGTAGTCGGCGATAGTCAAATCGTAGTGCGACTTGAGCAGGGCTGAGTATGTACAGATTCGACGAAAATATGCGCGTTTAACTTGTTTTAGACTTGCGTGAACTGTAAGTGTTGTTTGCCTTGCGTTGTACGC